TCAGGTGCTCTCGCTGTTTCTTTCGTTACCGCACTGCCCTTGAGCCCCTTGCTACGGCCCAGTTGCTGTCTCCCTCGCTGACCCCTCTGGGGGTCCGGTCCTTGCGACCTCCTCCACTATCCTTCCCTGTCCTGCGGTTCCCGTCGGGCACCACTGTCAGGTCTCCACCTCCCCTCGTTCTCTACGAACTTGGTGGCAGGTTGTGCACTACAGGACGCAGGTGTTCACCAGTTCACCCCTGCCTACGAGCGTGTCACACACTGCACGTGTGCCCGTACAGGCCGCCACTTGGCTACCTTCACCCGGCAGCCGGGGTCGGAATCTGTACACACTGACTACTGCCCCCCCTCAGGTCGCTGCGTCTGCGTCTGCGTCCACGTCAGGTCAGCTGTCCGCCCCCTGCTCGTGTCGCTCTCTAGCGGCACGAGACTGTCCTCTGGCACCACCGACTGGGCCACCCGTCTGTGCAGCGCCTTCGTGCCATGCACTCCCGGTACCTTGTCTCTGGTCTTCCCAGAGTCCTCCCTCCCCTCCCACCCTCGCCTGCTCCTCCCTGTCTTCCCTGCGTCGAGGGGCGGCAGCGCGCCGCTCCTCACTCCTCCTCGTTTCCCCCAACGACTGCTCCTTTGCAGACGCTCCACATGGACGTGTGGGGCCCAGCCCCGCGTCCGTGGTCAGGGTCAGGAGAGGTACTTCCTGATCGTTGTTGACGACCTACTCGTGCTACACCACGGTCCTTCCCCTTGCGAGCCAAGGGTGAGGTCCCTGATGTTTTGATCCCTTGGATCCGCAGAGCTGGTCTCCAGCTCAGCGAGCGTTTTCCGCTCGGACTTTCCTGTCCTGCGCTTGCACTCTGACAGAGGTGGTGAGTTCTCCTCCGACCTCTTGGCAGCCTACTGTGCTGAGCACGGCATTGAGCAGTCGTTCACGCTTCCGGCCTCTCCACAGCAGAATGGGGTTGCGGAGCGCCGCATTGGCCTGGTCATGGAGGTCGCTCGTACCTCCTTGATCCATGCGGCTGCCCCCCACTTTCTGTGGCCGTTTGCGGTCCGGTACGCTGCGCATCAGCTCAACCTCTGGCCCCGTGTCTCCTTGCGGAGACCTCGCCCACAGTGCTGTGGACGGGGGAGGTTGGCGATGCGTCACGTTTCCGGGTCTGGGGATCTCGAGCTTTTGTCCGCGTTTCGTCTGCGGACAAGCTCTCCTCTCGTGCTGTTCCCTGCGTCTTCCTCGTCTTTGTTCCGGACGCGCCTGGTTGGCAGTTTTACCACGCCACCTCGCGCCGGGTCTTGCCCTCTCAGGACGTCACTTTTGACGAGTGTGTCCCCTACTACCGCCTCTTTCCCTACCGCACTGCCCCGCTCCCACCCCCGCCTCTCTTCCTCGCGCCAGGTGCTGCTGTCGTAGACCCCCTCCCCCCTCAGGGTGCCGCTCCCTCAGGTGTGTCTCAGGTAGACCCGGTCGAGCCTGTTGAGGCTGCTGTCGACTCTCGTCCTGCTGGGGGTGCTGAGCCTGGGGGTGCGGAGGCTGGGGGTGCTGAGCCTGGGGGTGCTGACTCTGGGGGTGCTGAGCCTGGGGGTGCGGACTCTGGGGGTGCTGAGCCTTGGGGTGCGGACACTGGGGGTACTGAGCCTGGGGGTGCTGAGCCTGGGGGTGCGGTGACTGGGGGTGCTGAGCCTTGCGGTGCTGGGCCTAAGGGTGCTACACCTGGACGCGACCTCTCCTCGGAGCAGTTGCGTGAGTGGTACTTACAGTACTGCAGCCTCCGGAGTGTTACCTCTGGGACCAGGCGCACTACAGGGACTGGGGCTGGTACTTCTCCTCCTAGTCGGGAGCTCCCCTCTCGTGAGCGGATCCGTGAGTGGTACGAGCGCCGTTGCACACTTCGCAGTGGTGCGCCTCGTCTCACGGACCCGGCTGCCCCTGGTGCTACGGACCCGGGCGTTGGAGCTGCTGCTGGTGCTGCGGACCCTGGCGTTGGAGGTGCTGCTGGTGCTGAGGACCCGGGCGTTGGAGGTGCTGCTGGTGCTACGGACCCGGGCGTTGGAGCTGCTGCTGGTGCTGCGGACCCTGGCGTTGGAGCTGCTGGTGGTGCTGCGGACCCGAGGGTTGGAGGTGCTGCTGGTGCTGAGGACCCGGGCGTTGGGGCTGCGGCTGGTGCTGCGGACCCTGGCGTTGGAGCTGCGACTGGTGCTGTGGACCCTGGTGTCGGAAGTCCCTGCTGGTGCTGAGGACCCGGGCGTTGGAGCTGCGGCAGGTGCTGTGGACCCTGGTGTTGGAGCCACTGCTGGTGCTGAGGACTCGGGCGTTGGTGCTGAGGCTAGTACTGAGGACCTGGGCGTTGGAGCTGCTGGTGGTTCTGGTACTGCCGCTGGGGGTACAGGTGCTGTCCCTGCTGTGTCTGGAGTCGCCGCGCGCCCTCAGCCGTACTTTGTTCCGCTCCTTCAGCAGGTTCTTGGTCTCTCGCCTCCTCCTGGTCCTCCTCCCTTAGCGTGTTCACAGCCTGTCCCGTCACAGTTACAGTTGCAGCCGGCCTCCCCACTACCTGCTCCTTCTCCTTACACTGGTCCTACTGGCGGTCTTACTGAGCGTCGTGAGTCTGCGTCTCGTCCTGCGTCGCCTGTCCGTCCTACTAGCGCTAGTGCTCGTAGTTCGCGCCAGCGTCCTCCTCCTGCCCCTGGCACACACCGGATGTCTCTACGTCCGTCTACTGCTCCTCTGCGTGCCCCTTTGCCTTCTCCTCCTGCGTCCTCTCTTCCTGCTCTCGCCGACCCGGAGTCGGACTCTCTTCGTGCTACCAGTCCTACTATCACGCGTCTCCTTGCTACTGTTGTCACTGACCCTTCTTTCGAGTCTACTGCTGCGTCTGCTCTCGTCACTGAGCTCGTCGACTTTGCTGCTCGCTGTCGCCTAGACTACGCTGCTAGTCTTGTCGCTGAGTCTGAGTCTGTCTGTCCTCCGTCCGTCGGGGGTGAGTGTGCCCTTGGCACGGACGTCCTTGAGGACAGGCAGGAGGAGTTCCAGTGTCTGGCAGCTGCTTCACCTCATCTCGTGTCCGTACTGCTTACCCCTGAGGGAGACCCGGATGCACTTGACATCCCGACTCCGCGCTCTTACGCGGAGGCGATAGAGGGTCCCTACTCCTCTCAGTGGCAGGCAGCTATGGATGCAGAGATGGCTTCCTAGAAGTCCACAGGCACCTACGTTGACGCTGTCCCCCCTCCTGGGGCGAACATCGTCAATGGCATGTGGATCTTCAGGGTGAAGCGGCCGCCGGGTTCTCCGCCTGTCTTCAAGGCGCGTTACGTGGCTCGTGGCTTCAGTCAGCGACAGGGAGTTGACTACTTTCAGACCTTCTCCCCCACCCCGAAGATGACCACTCTTCGGGTACTGCTGCACGTTGCTGCTCACCGGGACTACGAGCTGCACTCTCTCGACTTCAGCACAGCTTTCCTGCAGGGCAGCCTGCACGAGGAGATCTGGCTGCGCCGCCCACCTGGCTTCACTGGGTCTTTCCCTCCTGGTACCCAGTGGAGTCTCCGGCGTCCAGTCTACGGTCTCCGCCAGGCGCCACGTGAGTGGCACGACACACTGAGGACTACGCTTGCGGCTCTTGGGTTTGCTCCGTCTACTGCCAACCCGTCGCTGTTTCTACGCACCGACACCTCTCTGCCGCCGTTCTACATCCTTGTGTACGTCGACGACTTGGTCTTTGCCACAGCTGACACTGCTGGACTCGCCTACGTGAAGTCCGAGCTGCAGAAGAGACACACGTGCACTGACCTGGGTGAACTGCGCAGCTACCTTGGCTTGCAGATCACCCGGGACAGAGCACGCCGCACCATTACCCTGACTCAGTCACACATGGTGCAGCAGGTCCTTCAGCGCTTCGGCTTCACGTACTCCTCGCCTCAGGCCACTCCTCTGTCTACTCGCCACTCGCTCTCAGCTCTGCCTTCGGATGAGTCCGTAGAGTCGAGTGGCCCGTACCCAGAGCTTGTTGGCTGCCTCATGTACCTGATGACCTGCACACGACCTGACCTTGCATACCCTCTTAGCATTCTTGCACGCTATGTTGCTCCTGGGAGACACCGACCAGAGCACATGGCTGCAGCGAAGAGGGTGTTGCGCTACTTGTGCAGTACGTCGGGCATGGGGCTAGTGCTTGGAGGGCGGAGTCCAGTGGTCCTCACTGGGCACGCAGACGCTTCTTGGGCCGACGACCAGGCTACGCAGCGGTCGTCACAGGGTTACACCTTCGGCCTTGGTTCTGGCTCTGTTTCGTGGCGGGCTACTCGCTCGTCTTCTGTTCTTGGCTCCAGTTGTGAGGCTGAGATCTACGCAGGGGCCATGGCTGCTCAGGAGCTTCGCTGGCTCACCTACCTGCTGACCGACCTTGGAGAGCCGCCTCGTTCTTCTCCAGTCCTGTACGTCGACAACAAGGCCATGCTGGCCTTGTGTCGGGAGCAGAGAGTGGAGCACAGAACAAAGCACATTGCTCTCCGCTACTTCCTTGCTCGTAAGCTACAGCAGCGTGGTCAGTTGCGACTTGCGTACGTGGCCTCTGAGGCCAACACTGCTGATGTCTTCACCAAGGCCCTTCCGCCTTGTGATCATCAGCGGTGCTGTACCCAGCTGGGTCTTGTGTCTGTCTTGCCTCACTTGCTCTCCTCTTGACCCTCTTTGTACTGTTACATATATATATCACTGCTCTTGCTTGTTTAGTCTTATATATATATCTCTACTCCTGCATGTGAACTGGCCTTGTGGCCTTGCACTTGTGCTTGGATTGTGTGGTGACGTTGTGATCCACCCTGAGCTTGCTTTGTTTTGCTTTACTTGACTGGTCTTGTGACCCCTAGTTCTCCCCCACTTCGCCTATGGGGGTGTGTCAAACATTATATATGTTGTTGTAGTTGTTTAGGCTACAGTGGGTTAGCCTATAGGGGGTACACATTCCTAGGTTTTCATACTTGTACTCATTTTCACTCTTAGTTCATTCATTCTTGTTCAACAGACTCACCAGTACCTGAGGACGCAGACGCACTAGCACCTAGAGCAGCAGCGTCACAAGCACCTGGGGCAGCACCCTCACCAGTACCTAGAGCAGCAGTCCCAATGCCCGAATCGGGCGGGAAACACCGGTAACAGTCACCCTCATCACTAATAGACACAGCATACATGGCAGAAAGAATAGCATCAAAATCAAGATCATTAATAGCAACTCCCGCCCTAGACAGCTCGCCCCAGCGAGGGATCTCTGTGGCCTCCGGGAACTGGCGACGCCACGCGTCCGTCAGGCGGCCAAAGCAGCGCTGGGTGGGGTGAGCACCCCCACACTGCTCACCCGCACGGTCGCCGGTGCGCAGGACGTAGGTGCACGGACCAAAACCCCCACCCCGCTGGCGTATAGTGTACCACTCACGGAGCTGCTAAGCGGACAGGGTCTCTCGACCGCGCTGCTGCTGTTGGCGCGGGCCACCACCGGAACCACTCCTCTGTGTAGACCCGCGACCAGCTCCACCGCCACCCCCGCCGCCTCCGCCGCCTCCGCCGCCTCCGCTACCACTGCCGCCTCCGCCGCCGCCTCCACCGCCACCACCTCCGCCACCTCCGCTCCCACCACCACCGCAGCCGCCGCCTCCGCCTCCACTGCCGCCACCGACCCCTCCTCCCCCACCTCCACTCCCACCGCCACCCCCACTCCCCCCGCCGCCTCCACCTCCACCGCTCCCGCTCGCTCCTCCAACGCCTTTGCCCCCCTTGCCCTTGCCAGAGCGGCGTCTCCCGCTAGGGGCGGACGCCGCACCGACCGACTCAAGACCAAGGAGGTCGGCCGTAGCAGCAGAGGCAACAGAGGGCAGAAGGGGGGAGGGGGAGAACCCCTCAAAGATGGGGGTGCGCGGGTCACCACGAGAGGCCCCTACAGCGACTATGCTCTTCTCGGCCGCTAGGAGGGACTTCTCGAGGAGGTCAACACTGAGTGTGGTGGGACAGACCGAGAGAAAGTGGTCCCTGACTACGCGAAGGGAGTCAGGGAGGCGAGTGACTATGTAGTAGAGAGTGATGTACATGGGGGGGGGGTTCTTGGCGCAGAAGTCAGCAGGAAGCGCAGCACGGCAGCGAGTGTCACTAGTGCGGAGGTGGGTAATGAGGTCAGCGACTGTGGGAAAGGCAGCAAGGTCAGGGAAGAGGTACGGTAGCATGAGACGGCTCAGTGCAGCAGTGGCAGGGGAGGAGTAGCGCGCAAACTACAGCGTCGTACAAGGTCTGAGCACTCTTGTACTGACTAAAGTGCGCACGCTCGGAGGTAGGGAGGTGGCGACGCACAGCAAGACGTGCAGCAGCGTCGCGCGTGGCCCACTGGGAGGAAACAGTGGCGTCAGCATCAGCAGCAGGGGCAGGAGAGGCGCAAGAGGTGAGGTCAAAGAGAGAGAGACCGTCTGCCCTATCGCACTGTAAGAACAGCTGCAGGTCATCTACCCAGACGTCAAAGTCAATGGCTCGACCCTCAGCGTCAAAAGCGAGGACACTAGGGGTAGCCATGACCACAGTAGACTAGCAGTGCAATAGTAGGGTGAGGGCAGTGTAGCAAAAGAGGCACTGTGCTCACCGGACAGGGCAGCTCGGGCGGCTCGGCAGTAGGGCGGCTCGGCAGATCGGCGGCTCGGCTTCTGGGCGGCTGGGCGGCTCGGCTGCAGCGCGGCTCGGCGGTCCGGCGGCTCGACTGCTGGGCGGCTCGGCTGCAGGGCGGCTCGGCTGCTGGGCGGCTCGGCTGCAGGGCGGCTCGGGTGCTCGGCTGCTGGCGGCTCGGCGGCCGGCTGTCCGGCTGCTCGGTTGCCCGGGCGGCTCGGCGGTGCTGCTGCAGGGCGGCGCGGCGGTCGGCTGCTCGGCTGGGTGGGGCGGGTCGGGAAGCCCGGGTGGCGGGCAGCGCTGCAGCAGGTGACGGGGGCCGCAGATGAGAGCGGCGGGGCCGCAGGTGAGAGCGGGGGGGGGGGGGCGCCAGTGAGAGCGGCGGGGCCGCAGGTGAGAGCGGCGGGGCCGCCAACGAGAGCGGCGGGGCCGCAGGTGAAAGCGGCGGGGCCGCAGGTGAGAGCGGCGGGTCCGCAGCAGAGGGCGGCGGGGCCGCAGAGAAGGGCGGTGGGGCCGCAGTTGAGGGCGGCGGGGCCGCAGCAGTTGAGGGCGGCGGGGCCGCAGCAGTTGAGGGCGGCGGGGCCGCAGTTGAAAGCGGCGGGGCCGCAGGTGAGAGCGGCGGGGCCGCAGCAGAGGGCGGCGGGGCCGCAGAGAAGGGCGGCGGGGCCGCAGTTGAGGGCGGCGGGGCCGCAGCAGTTGAGGGCGGCGGGGTCGCAGTTGAGGGCGGCGGGGCCGCAATTGAGGGCGGGGGGCCGCAGGAGAAGGGCGGCGACGGGCCGCTTGTGAAAGTGCGGCGCGACGCGGCCGTTAGGGCTGCGCGACGCGGCCGTAAGGGCGGCGTGACGGGCCGCTAAGGGCGACGCGACGGGCCGCTTAGGGCGACGCGATGGGCCGCTAAGAAGGGCGCGACCCTAGGCGCGCTTCGGGCAGGGGCAGGACGCGCCCCGGGCAGGAAAAAAAAAGAGGATCGGTGGGCCCTAGGAACAGTTCCCACGAGGGAACCTGCTCGATACCATGAGAAAGTGAGAACGAGAATGAATGAAGTATGAGTGAAGTAGGTACAAGTACTAACCCTAATTGGGTTGTACCCCCTATGGGATACCCCACTACAGCCTACACAAAAGCATAAGCTATAATGTTCTGACACTCGGCCCCTGTCTTTAACAAGCACGGTTGAGCCCAGTGATCAGTACGTAGAGGTGGTAGGGTGTCTGATATACTTGATAACTTGCACTTGGCCAAACATCGTATATCCTCACAACAACCTTGCTTGCTTGTTTGCGAATGGGATATACCGACCTGAGCATTGGTCGACTGCTAAGAGGGTATTGCGCTAGATGGATTGTGCATCAGACATGGGGCTTGTGCTCAGTGGACGACAGCTAGTTGCACTCATAGGACACAAGTTGCGTTGTGGGAAGACGTCATTGGGACTCTTCAATCCTCTCAGGGTTACTGTTTTTGCCTTGGCGCTGGAGCTGTCTCGTAAAGACCCACTCGCTCGTCGTCAGTGGCATAGTCCAGCCGTGAGGTGGAGATCTACGCTTATGCTATGTATCCTCATGAGCTCCAATGGCTAACGCTCTTGCTCACAGACTTAGGTGAGCTGCCTAGCTCTGCCCCCGTCCTGTTCGCTGATAACATGGTCATGGTCCTCTTGCATCAAGAGCCAATGACAGAGGGCAGAACGAAGCATATCCAGCTACGGTACATTCTGCTACGTGAGTTACAACCGCGTGACCAGGCACGCGTAGTACGCTTGGTCTCAAAGACCAACACTGCTGATATCTTTACTAAGGCGCTTCTGCCTCATGACCACGTACCGCAGTGAGTTGTTCTGTTGCTAATTGGCCTTGTTGCCTCTTACTTCAATGGTTGGACTAGTGGTGCTGCCCTGATTTGTGTCTCACTTGTTAGGCACGACCCCCTACCCTAACTAGGGGGTGTGTCAACGTACATATTTATATTTGTATGTGTACTATTGCAGGTTAGGTTGGGGTGCCCTATCGAGGGTAGAGGATTGCAAATCCTCCTTCGTGCGTTCTCATTTTACTCATTCCTTTCTCTTGTTAAGAGTTGGGTGTGCGGATGATGACAGAGGTAATTGTGAGGTTTGGGCCTTCTATATGCTGTGCGACCTGGTGTGAGTGAAGAGGAGGGGAGAGAGAGGGGGAGGGGAGAGGGAGGGGGAGAGGGGGAGAAGGAGGGGGAAAATTGGGGAGAAGAGGAAAGAAGGGGAACGATGTTCATCATTAGGCCGGCAAGGTTTGAATTGGAAGTTGGGTGTGTGGATAATTTTTTACATGAGTGTGAGACATGGGACTGTCATGCAATGAATGCGGCATAGCGTAGGGAATTCGGGGGGGAAGGTGGGGGAGGTTTGGGGCGGGGGGCGAGGAGAAGGGAACGGAAAGAAGAGGAAAGGAGGAAGAAGATGGAAGACGATAAAATATGAGGGGAGATGAGTAACCGATAGAGAGGTCGGAATTTTGTTGGGGATTCAGAGTGGTGATTGGGTGTGGGGAGTAGGAGAAGGAGCTGGAAGTGGGAGTTGTTGAAGGAATTTGGCCCCGCCCTCGCATGGGCAAAACTGACTTCATGGTCGGGTGTGCGGGAGGTGCAGCCGACCGTCTGCAGGTGTACGAGGGTTGCCTGTACACGAGGTGTATTAGGGAATCCATGCAAGAGTAATCGAAGCATCCGTGAGTGCAACTCAGACTTCTTGTGCGCATGTACAAGTGGCGCAGCTCGTGCAGAAGTTCGCGGATGTTCGTCTGCGCAGGGTCGCGTCTGACCCTGCGCACCCTTGAGACTGCACAGGCGAATTTTGGCCAGAAATTCGAATGTGCCCTAATTTCGACCAATCAGGGGCTGACATTTTGAAATGTTGACCGAGGTGTTCAACGAAGGTGCTCGACGAAGGTCGTCGACCCCCGACGACGAAGGTCGTTGACCCGCGACGACGAAGGTCGTCAACCGGTGATGACGAAGGTCATCATCCTGCAGAGATGTCAGGGACTTCGTCTGGTTGACCAAGTTACGACGTGGTCGATGTGGCTCATCAGGTGCAACCGTCAGCATGTGGCTGACAACCTGCGCAATGCGTGGGACAATGCACATCGTGCGTAACTGTCTACAAGCACCTGCGAAGTAGGTGCTTGCACATGCACTTACAATCACCTGCGGATGCAATGTTGGCAAGCCGCGCGAATGCTGCGATGGCAAGCCGCGTGAGTGCAGTGCTGGCATGCCGCCATTCTGCAGCGTTGGCAAGCCGCACACAAGCTGCGTTGGCAAGCCGCAGACTTGCTACGTTGGCAGGTCGACAACTCTGTCACGCTAGCAGTCGACCTGCCTGAGCACTAGCAAACCTTGCATGTGATGTAGTCAATTCTTTGCCATTGCTTGTTCATTCTGAACTCTGTATCCTCAACTTTTCCTTAGTGAAATTCTTGTTGTTTTGCCCTCTGAAAACACAAGTCCTAGAGAACACAGACAGAGCTACGATCACTCTACCAACTCGTGCCTACCCTGCAGTCTAGCTCCCACCATTGTAGAGTTTGGGATGAATGTGTACCTGTTGCATTGGTGCACTCAATAAGATTAGCTCCCCCCCAAGCAGCAACAGAAGCATCACAGGTGCTTCCTGTCAAATGTTGTAGCCTGTAGTGAGGTTTGTCTTAGGGGGTACAGAATTTAGGGTTTGTTATATGTACCCCAACCAACATCAATGGCATCATCATTCCTCATTTTGACATGGTATCATTCCTCAGCAGCAGCAGCAGCAGCCGCAGCCGCAGCAGCAGCAGCAGCTGCACCAGCGGTCGCACCAGCAGCCGCCCCTACTGCCACTGCCCCCGATTCCCCCCCCCGTTCGGGTCCCCGCGTCTCACCAGGTTGCTTCGTCCCCCCAGGTGTCTGTGTCGTGTCAGGTTCCTACGTCTGTTCCAGTCGCTGCGTCGTGCTCCTGCCGGTCGCTTGCCCACCCCACCGTTCTGTGGCACCACCGGATGGGGCACCCGTCCCTTCCTCGTCTGCGCGCTATGTCTAGTCAGCATCTTGTCCTAGGCCTCCCACGTGTCTTGCCGTCGCTGCCGCCTTCGCTTGCGCCGCCGTGTGGTCCCTGCGTCGAGGGTCGGCTGCGCGCCGCCCCTCACTCCTCCTCCCTTCGTCCGGCCACCGAGCCTTTTGAGACGCTTCACTTGGACGTCTGGGGCCCCGCCCCTCGTCTAGGCCCTGAGCGTGAGCGCTACTTTCTGGTGGTCGTTGACGACTTCTCCCGCTACACCACAGTGTTCCCTCTGGCGAAGAAGTCTGAGGTGACTTCTACGCTGATCAGGTGGTTGCTCACCACCGAGGACACTCGTGGTCGTCGTGTCAGCTGCCTCCACTCCGACCGTGGGGGTGAGTTTCGCTCCGGCATTCTCGCTGGATTCTGTCGCGAGCAGGGCATTCGTCAGTCCTGGACGCTTCCAGAGTCCCCACAACAGAATGGGGTTGCTGAGCGCCGCATAGGCCTGGTCATGGAGATCGCCCGCACCTCCCTGACTCACGCCTGTGCCCCCCATTTTCTGTGGCCCTACGCGGTCAGGTACGCCGCGCACCAGCTGAACCTCTGGCCACGTGTCTCTCGACCAGAGGTTTCACCGACCAGTCTTTGGACAGGGTCCCCTGATGTTGCGTCGCGGTTTCGTGTCTGGGGGTGCTTGGCTCTTGTCCGCGACACCTCCGCGGACAAGCTCTCGCCTCGTGCCGTCCCCTGTGTCTTCCTTGGTTTCCCTGAGGACTCCTCTGACTTCACCTTTTACCACCCTCCCTCTCACCGGTTCTTTGACTCCCGTGACGTCCGTTTCGAGGAGTCCACTCCGTACTACGTCAGGTACCCCAGTCAAGGTCTCCAGGTTCCTCCTCCCCCCCTCTTCCTGACTGCCGCTCCCCCTCCTGTTCCCCCGGTACAGCCTCCCCCCCCTGGTCCAGCCCCGTCAGGTGTGTCCCAGGCTACCCCTCCTCCTTCGGTAGCCTCTCCGGTACAGCCTCCCTCCCCACAGTCCTCCTCGCAGCGTGCCGCAGGTGCTAGCTCTCGAGAGGTTGGTGCTGCGCCTGTTCCTGTACCGGTTTCTGGTTCTGGGGGTGGTGGAGTTGGAGCTGGAGTTGGAGCTGGAGTTGGAGCTGGAGTTGGCACTGGAGTTTCTGGTTCTAGGGGTGCAGGGGTTGGAGCTGGAGTTGGAGCTGGAGTTTCTGGTTCTGGAGTTGGAGCTGACCCGGTGGGTGCAGAGGACTCTTGTCGTCCGGGAGCTGGTGCTGGTCGCGCGGACACTGGGGGTGAGAGTGCGCCTCCTTCGGGTTCTGGTGAGCCTGGGTCTGGAGCTGGTGTTAGTGCTGCCTCTGGGGGTGGTGCGCCTGGTTCTTCGGGGGTGGACTCTGGAGCTACCGCTGCTTCGGACACTACTCCGCCCCCCCACCCCTACCCGACTAGGCACCAGGCTCGTGTTCGCCGTGCCCGTGACGAGCAGCTGGCGTTGGAGAGAGAGGAGAGGGAGTTACAGCGGCTGGAGGAGCAGCAGCAGCAGCTGGAGCCGCAGGAGCAGCAGCAGCACCAGCAGCAGCTGGACCCGCAGGAGCAGCAGTCCCAGCAGCAGCCGCTTCCGCAGCAGCAGCAGTCGCAGCAGCAGCAGCAGCAGCCACTTCCTCCTCCTGTCTCGGGTCTTCGAACCCTTGGTCTCCCCTCCCCTTCTCCTCCCTCCTCCGCCTCTCCTCCTGTCTACGGTCCCACGTTTCCTCCTCCTGACTCCTCCCCCGCTGTTTTCCCCAGTTCTCCGCCTTTGTCCTCTCCTCCTCCGTCTCGTTCTTGGGCTACTCGTCGCTCCCCTCGTGCTCGTCCCTCGTCTCCTGTTCCCTTCACTGACCTTCGTACTGCCTTCCTTCTTTCTAGTCCACCTCGTCCGTCTCAGTCTGTGCTTCCGTCTCCTCCTGAGTCGGCCCTCACTGTGTCGCTCCCTACTCCTGTCACTGACTACTACCGCACGTACCGTCCTGTTCTCTCTCGTGTTCTCGCCTCTCTTGTTACTCACCCTCGTGCCTCTGTGTCCTCTGTGTCCGCTCTTACTGCCGCAGTTACTGACTTTGCCTCTACCCGCCGCCTTGACTACGCCACCACGCTTGTGGCTGCTCCTCCTACCAGTCCTCTGGCCGTCGGGGGTGTGTCTGCCCTTGGCTGTGACGCCCTAGAGGACAGGCAGTTTGAGCTAGAGTTCCTGGCGGCCGCTTTCCCTCATCTCTGTGCCATGCTCCTCGCCCCTGAGGGTGACCCCGACGCCCTTGACATTCCGACTCCTCGCACTTACGCTGAGGCAGTGTCAGGGCCTTGGGCCTCTCAGTGGAGAGCTGCCATGGACGCAGAGATGGCCTCCTACAGATCCACAGGCACCTACGTCGATGAGGTTCCCCCCCCTGGGGCGAACGTAGTCGACGGCATGTGGATCTACAGGGTGAAGCGGCCACCCGGATCTCCCCCGGTCTTCAAGGCGCGCTACGTGGCTAGAGGTTTCAGTCAGCGCGAGGGAGTTGACTTCTTTCAGACCTTCGCACCTACCCCGAAGATGACCACTCTTCGGGTGTTACTACACGTAGCAGCACAGAGAGACTACGAGTTACACTCTCTCGACTTCTCCACTGCTTTCCTTCAGGGCAGCCTACACGAGGAGGTCTGGTTGCGTCGTCCCTCGGCCTTCACTGGCACCTTCCCTCCTGGGACCCAGTGGAGGCTGAGGCGACCTGTTTACGGTCTTCGCCAGGCCCCTCGTGAGTGGCACGACACTCTGCGTTCTACCCTCTCTGACCTTGGGTTCCAGCCGTCTTCTGCCGACCCGTCGCTGTTCGTTCGTCGTGGCTCCACACCGTTCTTTGTTCTGGTTTACGTCGACGACCTCGTTTTCGCCACTCCGGACAGGGTTGCTTTGGCAGACGTGAAGTCCGAACTGCAGAAGAGACACACGTGCACTGATCTTGGTGAGCTGCGCCACTACCTTGGCCTGCAGATCACCAGGGACAGAGCCGCTCGCACCATTACACTCTCACAGTCACACATGGTGCAGCAGGTCCTTCAGCGGTTCGGGCTTCAGCACTCCACCGTACAGCGCACACCTCTCGCTGTTGACCACAGACTCACTCGTCCCTTTCCTGACGAGCCGTTTGAGCCTAGTGGTCCCTACGCAGAGCTTGTGGGTTGCCTCATGTACCTGATGACTTGTACTCGCCCGGACCTCGCCTTCCCTCTCAGCATCCTTGCGCGCTTTGTTGCGCCAGGGAGACACCGTCCTGTTCACTGGACGGCAGCTGTGAGGGTGGCGAAATACCTAGCGACTACATCAGGCGTGGGGCTAGTTCTTGGAGGGCAGCAGTCTGTCGTACTCACTGGTCACTGTGACTCCTCTTACGTTGACGACGCTGAGACTCACAGGTCTACTCAGGGGTACTGTTTCAGTCTGGGTTCTGGAGCTGTTTCTTGGCGTTCCACGCGCTCCTCTTCTGTCTCGACCTCTACAGCTGAGGCTGAGATTTACGCTGGTGCCATGGCGGCACAGGAGTTGCGTTGGTTGACCTTCTTGCTCGCCGACCTTGGTGAGCGGCCGAGCTCTGCACCGACCTTGTTCACTGACAACAAGGCGTCGATCCTCCTCTGTCGTGAGCCGCGACTGGAGAGCAGAGTGAAGCACATTCACGTCAGGTACTTTCTTCTACGAGAGTTGCAGAGACGTGGACAGGCTCGCTTCGAGTTTGTGGAGTCCGAGGCCAACACTGCAGACATCTTCACCAAGGCGCTTCCGCCTCGTGACCACCAGAGGTGTTGTGTGCAGTTAGGCCTTGTTGACACAGGTTCTAGTCATGTGTAGGCTTGATTTTATTGCCTGCTTCGTCTGTACTCTTGCTATATATACTTGTGATCTCTTGGACTGGCCTTGTGGCCACTGTTGCTTGTGCTCAGAGAGTGTGGTGACGTTGTGATCCACCCTGAGCTTTGTTTTCTTTTGGACTGGTCTTGTGACCGTACTCTTTTTTTATTTTGCTAGACACCCCTCACTTAGGCTATGGGGGTGTGTCAAATGTTGTAGCCTGTAGTGAGGTTTGTCTTAGGGGGTACAGAAGTTAGGGTTTGTTATATGTACCCCAACCAACATCAATGGCATCATCATTCCTCATTTTGACACTTCCCCCATAGTAGTCAATTCTACTAGATGGGAGCTCTCCTCATGAGAGGCACCTGGTGAAACACGTGAAAAAACATAACCTGCTGATGTTTCTGCTGCAAATAAGAGAATGGGTAAGGATTCAGATATATGACAAGGACAAAGCCTTTGTGCCATGAGAGTGGGGGTGAGGGAGGAGGAAAAGGAGGCGGTGTAGGAGGACTAGAGAGAGAGGGACTGGTTGAGAGTGAGAGAGTGCACGAAGGTGGAGAAATGAGGGTAAGGGGAAGAGGGATTTTCCCTGGTTGACTTGATGTATGAGGGGTGAGGGGGCGAATGAGAAGAGTGAGAGGAGGCGTAAGAGGAGTAGGAAAGATCTTCCTCGAGAGAACCTAGTTACGGGAGGGATCTCGCATGTTCGAGTGTAGGCACAGGTTTGGGCATGGGAGGTAGCCTCCGACGATGAGGTCTTCAGCCTAAGCCAGTCATTTCGAAAGTAGGTGTTGTATGAGATGTAGAAGTAAACCTAGTAAGCAACATAGTTTAGCTACCTACATTGTACTGATTTGGATTCTACAGCTGTGCTTATCCACGCAGTCCGCTTATCTGGGAGGTGCGCCTAGCTCCACAGTTGCGCTCCCGCTCGCATGGCTACTTGAGGTCAAGGTTGCCGAAGCTATTAGGTTCGTTCGGTAAGTGTCAAGACAGTCTAACCGTACATATCGACGGCTCACAAGATTGCAGTAAATCCGTACCTTCCATCGATGGCGATCACAGAGACACCGTCCTACACTGTACCAAGAAGGCATGCTTTTGCGTTTCGGTCTCAACAGCAAGCGCAAATCCAACACAATTGCGCCTCGAGATATGCGATAGTCGATCTCATATGCGACGCCTGCGACATTCGGAATTTGCAGACCTGCAGGCCGTGAGGTACAATTCTAGTCAAAACAGGGGCTGCTGCGACAATCACCATCAAGAAGGGGCGACGATTAGGTAAATGTCGCGCAACAAATGGTTCGCTTCAGCCGAGCACCCCTCCGAAGGTCGTGATGACATGTGCTTACAAAAGCAAAGCGGTCCTTCTGTGCATGCGTCACGTTCGGTGGTGCATTGACGGCAACGCGCAAAGGGTAGCCAAAGTTGGATTGGCTCTCTCTCTCACTATTTATTCTGCACGTCCTCCACAACCACTGCCATCTAACTTTTTCCCACATTTATTCGGTGCCCAGCAGAGCAACTGCTGGCTGACGTTCTCGTCTGTTTCAATTTCGGTTTTTTCACGTGAGTGCGGTTCACTTTCTTCACCGTGACTGCTAGTACTAGTAATGGCTTCGCTCCTCCGACTGGCGGTCATATTGCTGACCGTAGCCAGCGCGTCCCTCCTTCACACGACCACGGCGGACCTCCTGCTGAGGCCAGAGCGCGTGCCTCGCGCGCAGTTCCGCATTCGCTGCAACTTCAGCCACGCTCTGCGGGATGACCCCATCGTCTTCCCTGGGCAGCCCGGCAAGTCTCACCTGCACGACTTCCTCGGCAGCACCATCACCAAAGCCGACACCACTGATGGTCAGTACTGCAAATGCCAAAGCTTGCTGGGATCACAAGGCTTCCTCCACCACTCAACACGAGCGCGTGCTGGTTTCTAATTTCCTCCCTCATCAAACCCCTCTTGACTGTTTCTTTCCTCCCATCGTGCCATGCGACAGCCAGGGCGTTGGTGGGCAGCAAGACAACGTGCGGGCTGAAGGCGGACTCAGCAGCGTACTGGTTCCCGTCCATGTTCATGCGCACCAACCAGAAGGACGCCAAGGGCCAGTACATCTACAAGCACGTGAGTCATGCCACGCTGACTAGTTCACACGCTTGGGGGCGCACGTCAGGAAATTTTGCCATATGCTAAAGGAGGAGCAGAAAAAAAAAACCAAAACAAGGCGGAAACCAAACGGAAACGTTATGTTCTCGATACCCTTCGCTCTTCGTTCATGTTCGCGTGGGTCATTTTTTTTTCTTCCTCCCCTCCCTTTCCACCTCCGTGCTGCAGTTAAAGCCCAACTGGACGCTCTTCTACTACCGCACGTCTGTCAAGAACCCGGAAACCATCATGCCCTTCCCGCGGGGCTTCCGGATGCTCACAGGCAACCCATTCGCAGGATCTGTATGTTCCCCTCTCCCTTTTCGTCCTTCAAATAACATTCGCAGTTTCTTGATTAAGCAATTTTGTCATTTCATAGAGAGTCCTTGGTGATCATTTCCCCTGCATACCGTCCCCAATTTCCCATCATTTTCTCGTCACAGAAACAAGCTGACGACATGGCGAACGTGGAATGGTGGTGCGGCGCGCGCGGCAAGCACGGTAACGACTTTCCGCACCAGAAGTGTCCTGCGGGCGACCAGCTGATTGGCAAGATCAACTTCCCCGTGTGCTGGGACGGCAAGAACATCGACAGCGCGGATCACCGCAGCCACGTGGTGCACATCCCGCTAAACACCACGTGCCCGTCGTCGCACCCCGTGCCGCTGCCGCGCATCAGCATCAAGGTGTACTACCCCGTCGACACGGACCTCGACCTCACGTGGCCCAAGAACGGCGTCAAGGGCAACCCCGCTGTCTACCTCTCCACCATTCAGAGCGGCGGCACGGGCAGCCCTTTTGAGTACCACAGCGACTTTATCAACGGGTGGGACCAAAAGGTGCTTGGCCGACTCGTGAGAAAGTGCATCAACCGGAATAAGAAGTGTCTCGTGCAGGAAGACAACGTGTAGGTCGTAGGAAAGCTGGGCGGGGAGACGTGAATGTGAAGCGTGTTGTCATGGGGTTTCACAATCGAGTGTGGTTGATCTTGGATTCTGGGTGGGTTTCACAAGGAAGTGGGTGTAGTTTGAGTGATCGATTTAGGAGGGGTTGGGTCGGAGACGGTTTGGGGAGGTTTTGGCAGGGCCCAGAGGGATAGCTAGGGAGGGAATACATGCTCCAGCTCTGCTCATCTCGATGCAGGCGGGCATGAACCAAACCAGCTGCCCTGTCATCCTCTTTATTAGTTCCTTCGTTTGAAAATCGACGTGATCCTCAAGGTGATAAACATGTACGAGAATTACAGTACAGTACAGATGAGACGTACGGGGGCAACTGCTTCGGATAAGAATTTCCGTGACTGTCATTCCACGTCAATCACAGCGCTTTCCTCGCTGGAGCAGCACTTGGGATTCGCCATCGAATGTTGATGACTCGCATCGCGAATGGAAACCGCAGCTTGAATCATTTGCGGCGCAGCATCGTCAGCAGAATCATGCGTTGCAGTCGTTCTCCTTTGGGGTTCCGCCATAGCGGAACAACCTCCACCGCTGCGCATATGCACCCACTTCTCGGCATTCTACCTTCCATGTTTAAGGGCGCGGTTCAGAGTTTCTAAATTAAGCAATCGGGAATTATACCGGTCCTTAAGACGGTTCGAGCATGCCTGCCCAGCCCCCAAGAATCCATGTCCAGGCCGTCACGAACCTGGGCTGGCGAAACGTCTGTGTCGTCTGAGGACGCGGCACCTCAAGCAATTTTGCACGATCGATCGCAGGTTCGCTGATTCAACCGTGCTGAATTTCTTTTGAAAACATTGAAATCTTTCGATACCATTTTGAACTCCTAAAACATTCGATCCTGCGCAGGATCGATCGCAGGATCGGTGCTAGGGGTGCCGCGTCCTGACTAGCCCACCGCAACATACACCGCTTTGGCAAAGGAAGGTTGCAGCGCAATTGGTTCGCGTGTCATATATGAGACACCGACCTCGAAACCTAGGGAATTCACAGACTTCAGTTACGACGTGGTTAGCTATGTAACGTCTGTCATCGGGTTGAAGTTCAAACTCCATCGAGCAGCATCCAGTCGTCTGTCTCCTCCCATTCTTCCGCCCTCGCTTCAAAGCCATTTTCTATTTTCGAGACCCCATCGGATCTGGTCAGCCTTCCAACTGCGCAAGCGCTGCTGTTGCAATGGTGACTGCCACAATCACCCCCCTCTTCGCGCATGCGCCCGCGGCCCTGGTCAGAGTGTCCACCGCCTCGCCGCGAACTGGACTCAGAGCCTTGCCGTTCCTCCCGCGCCCGCGAGATGTCACAAGGCGCATCGTGCAATCACGTGGGGCAGCCCGATGTGCTGTTGCTGACGTGGCAAGAAGAGAGGATGGGCAGAGCAACGATCAACTGGGCGGGGATCTGCCTCAGGTGCGAGTGGGAAATGATCGATAGTCGGCACGCCTGTAGTCACCATAAGAACAAAATCACGAACATTCGTGCCACATCGCGAGGCGATTGGTAACATGCTCAGCGCCATACCTTGATCTCAGGTTCTCGCCTTCGCTGCCTTCTTTGATGCTAATTCCGCCCGTAATCGACCCTATCTCGTGTTCGAATGGTTGCCGACCAAGAATTCGGCGCGTGATGGACTCCAAGCGCTTGCCCAGGAACTCGGCTCGAGTCGTCAAGTACACGCCAGTGGCCCTCGCTTATTCCACTCTCCCCTCCCCCTCGCCGCTGCTTCGTGCGCAATCTCGCCCTTATGCGCAGGCCGCCGATCAGTCAGCGCAGCTGGCGGCGGATCTGGCGGGCAACGGGTGGCGCAGCACGCGGCGCACGAAGCTGGTGTGCACCATCGGGCCGGCGTGCTGCGGCTTCGAGCAGATCGCGGCGCTGGCGGAGGGCGGCATGAACGTGGCGCGCATCAACATGTGCCACGGCACGCACGCGTGGCACCGGTAGGAGCCATGGCATTGGCGAGGGCTGAGTGGCATCGGTAGTCCATGGCCGATGGCATGGGCAGGACTCGCTGACGCGGTGGCGTGATCCGTGCCGCAGGGGGGCGTGGCCCTTGTCTCCTTGCAACTGCCTTTCTCGCCCTGCCGCCATGCTCTGCAGCCAGCAGCAGCACCCGCATGTCATCGAGTCCGTCGTCGGTTCCTCGTCCACCATCCCATAACCATCCATGCCCTTGCTGCCGCGTGCCCCCCCCTCCCCACCTCCCATGCGCGCAGGCAGGTGATGGCGGACATCCGGCGGCTGAACGCGGAGCGCGGGTACAGCGTGGCGGTGATGATGGACACGGAGGGCAGCGAGATCCACATGAGCGACCTCCAGGGCGCGCCCTCCGCTAAAGTCGCGGTCAGTCCCTCCCCCATGCTTGCCGTGCCGTGGCGTAGCGTAACGTGGACGCGCGGTTGGGAATAAGAGGGGCAGTTGTGGGGCTGGAGGGCAGGTCCGCTCACAGGTCAACAGGTCAACAGTCCCAGCCTGCGGCATCTACGGCTCTCGCACACATCACCTCCTCCTCTCACTGCTCCCACTGTGCCCGCGTCCCTTCTATCCCTCGCCCCCCGTCCCCCCACCAGGAGGGCGACGTGTGGACGTTCACGGTGCGCAAGTTCCCTGACGGCATGGCGCTGCCGCCCAACACCGTGCACGTCAACTATGACGGCTTCATTGACGGTGCGTGCTCCCCTGCTCATGCGCTCAACTGTTGCCTTGCTGACGTCGTGGGGCCGCTGCTATTGTGTGGACACCTTCCTTTACTTCCTCCACCTTCTCTGCTTTCTCTGCTCCGCGCTCCCACCACCCCATTGTCCCAATACCCATCGCTTCCGCCCTCCCCCTCCCCCGTCTCCCCGCCATCAGACGTGAGGGAGGGCGACGAGGTGGTGGTGGACGGGGGCATGGCGCGGCTGCAGGTGGCGGCGCGCATGGGGCCCGACGTGGTGTGCAGCGTGCTGGACCCGGGGCTGCTGCTGCCACGCGCCAACCTCACCATCTTCCGCAATGGCCACCTCGTGCGCGCCACCAACGCCATGCTGCCCACCATCTCCTCCAAGGTCAGCCCCTTGTGCCACTCTGCACCACCATGCACCACCATGCACCACCATGCCCTGCCGTGGACAGCCATGCACCACCCTGCACCATGACTTGATAATCCGACCATGCATCATCCCTGCCTCTCACGCCCATCGCTGCTGCATTCTGTCCTTCCATTCCATCCCCCCCTCGCCATCCGTCCCTCCCCCTGTGGCAGGACTGGATAGACATAGACTTTGGAATAGCGGAGGGGGTGGACTTCATAGCCATCTCCTTCGTGCGCTCACCTGAGGTCGTCACGCACCTCCGCAGCTACGTAAACGCGCGCTCTCCCTCCCGGTGCGTGCCGTGTGGTGGGTGTGGTGCAGGTGGGTGCAGCTGTCTCGACTCCCTCGCATCACACTCATTCACCCGCCCCTCTCTCATCCACCTGTGCGCCGCCTTCCTCCTGGGTACCTGCCACCATAAGTTCACAGCACATGGCTCGTTACCTCCTCCCCCATCACCACACGCCCCTCCCCCACTCCCCTCCGCCGTCCCCCTGTCTTCCCCCAGCCCCATAGCGTTGATAGCCAAGATAGAGAGTGTGGAGGCGGTGGGGCGGCTGGAGGAGATCATAGCGGCGTCGGACGGGGCGATGGTGGCGCGGGGCGACCTGGGCGCGCAGGTGCCGCTGGAGGACGTGCCGGGCGTGCAGCAGGACATGGTGGACCTCTGCCGCGCCCTCAACAAGCCCGTCATTGTGGCGTCGCATCTCCTCGAGTCCATGATCGAGTTCCCCATCCCCACCCGCGCTGAGGTATGATCGAGTTCCCCATCCCCACCCGCGCTGAGGTATGATCGAGTTCCCCATCCCCACCCGCGCTGAGGTATGATCGAGTTCCCCATCCCCACCCGCGCTGAGGTATGATCGAGTTCCCCATCCCCACCCGCGCTGAGGTATGATCGAGTTCCCCATCCCCACCCGCGCTGAGGTATGATCGAGTTCCCCATCCCCACCCGCGCTGAGGTATGATCGAGTTCCCCATCCCCACCCGCGCTGAGGTATGATCAAGTTCCCCATCCCCACCCGCGCTGAGGTGCGCCCCCCCAAGCGCTGCGCGCGTGCACGCATGCAGCCGCATTTGTACTTTGAAGCAACTTGCGTCTTTGTGTCTTGAAGGCATGGCTGATTTGGCACCTGAATGGTGCTCACTGGCAGCTCAAGACGAGAGTCTTGGCATTGTTGGAAGGGAAAACATCTCCATGCTCCCCTCACCGGCTAACTTCGTTCTCCTCCCTTCCTCTCCCCCATCCGCTCTCCTCCCTCCGCCTTCCCATCCCCTCCCCCCACCCCCCCCCCCTGCAGGTGGCGGACACGGCAGAGGCGGTGCACCAGCAGGCGGATGCGCTGATGCTGTCGGGGGAGTCGGCCATGGGGCAGTTCCCTCTTAAAGCCCTCGACGTGCTGCGCACCGTTGCAGAGCGCTTTGAGGCCATCGAGGAGGGGCAGGGCGGATACGAGGGGGGCCCCGGTGCGGCAGCCACGGATGGGCGCACGGCGGTGGAGCGCGTGGCGCTGCTGCCGGAGCTGTCGCACTCGCTGCGGGACCGCATGTCCGAACAGATCTGCGCAGCTGCTGCCCAGATGGGTGCGTGTGGCCCCACTGCCTGTGTGGCCCGACTGCCTGTGTGGCGCCGAGCGCAGGGGGTGGTTGGTGATGGCAGCGTGGAGGGGAGGGTGCATGTCTCGTCATCCCAGGGATACACTCAACTGCACATGTACCCCACACTACCTCCATACCTTCCCATTCTCTCCCTGTGTTCGCCTCCTCTCGCCATTCTCCCCCCTCCCCGTGCCCACTCTGTGCAGCCATGCGTCTGGGGGCAAAAGCAATAATCGCCTTCACCCAGAGGGGCTACATGGCGTCGTTGCTCTCGCGCTGCCGCCCCAACTGCCCCATCTTTGCCGTCACGCCCTCCCAGGTACTCCCTACCTCTGTTGCAACGTATCTTGTATAGATGCCTTGCAATGTGCTCTAACCAACGTCCACCTGCCTCGTTCCCCTCCTGGGCTCATCGCGTTCACCTTCCCGCTCACCCTCCCCGGCCCTGTCCTGCTCAACCCCTCCTGCCCCTCACACCAGGCGGTGAGGCAGCACATGAGTGTGTACTGGGGCCTCGTGCCATTCCGCCTCGACCTCTCAGACGACGCCGAGGACAACATGCGGCGCGCCTTCGCCGTGCTCAAGGTGGGTGGGGCAGCGGGGCAGGGCAGGTGGTGGGGTGTGGGAGCGTGAGGTGTGGGAGCGTGAGGTGTGGGAGCGTGAGGTGTGGGAGCGTGAGGTGTACGAGCGTGAGGTGTACGAGCGTGAGGTGTACGAGCGTGAGGTGTACGAGCGTGAGGTGTACATGATCCACGGGATGACCCTGCCTTCACACAGCGGGTCTGAATCTGCTGTGCCAAACGGGTTGCAGGGATTGAGTCCAGCACTCTACGGTCCTTCCACTCCACCTCCCTCTCTGCCTTGCACTTCCCTCCCCTCCTCCCTGCTCTCTGCCACTCTTCGCCTCTCCCTCTCACAGCACCACGCTGCTTCCCTCTCACAGCACCACGCTGCTTCCCTCTCTCAGCCACTCCCCCACCCCTCTTGTACAACCCCTCGCGTCCCCCCCGCCCCAACCCGTTCCCCACCCCCCCAGGCGAGGGGCCTGGTGGCGGAGGGCGATCTCATCATCGCCGTCTCTGATGTGGCGGGCGGGCAGGAGGCCGTGGGGGCCAGGCAAAGCGTGCAGGTCCGCAAGGTGCTGTGACCTGCTGTGCGCTGCTGTGAAAGTGAGGCACACACGCGCCCGCCAGGGACCTGCTGTGAGGTGACACCCTTGCTGGGCGTCTCTTTTTATGTGCTGAGTTGCATGCTGCATGCTGCAGCAGGGAGGGCAGGGGGGGAAGGCAGCCTGTAGTGCAAGCAGCCCTCACACACTCCACTCCACCAGAGGCTGCCGTCGGCTCTAGGCTGACGGCGTAGTGTTGCACTGCGCCCATCCAGCTGTATGGCTTGCTGCCCGTGCTATGTAAGTTCAATAATGGTGGGAAAGTGATTCTTCCTGGTTTGTTTGCAACGGCAGTTGCTTCAAAGCATACTGCCTCTAGCTGTACAAATTGGTGTTGTAGGTCAACTGATGCTTTAGTCTCAATGCTTGTCCATGAAATCAACAATTCGGTAGGTTGTGCACGATTTGTGACATACGGTACATACAGCTTGAGAGAAGTTACATTACATGATAGACATTCCAGAATCCCCACCTTCCCTTCTACGGTACTCTGAAACCCCAACCATGTTGTCAATGCCCTCAACCGAGCCTTCAGAATTGTTACTGTGTGTTATACATGAAAGTGGCGTGACGCAGCACACCCATTTAGATGAATCCTCCCAGTTAATCCATGCCTCTAGTTGACCTTGGGTTTGATCTTCCTCTTGCGCAGCAGCACACAGAGCAGCAGCAGCAACAGCACGGAGAGGCAGCAGAGCAGCGGCAGCAGCCCTCCTCGCCCCACCTGCAGGCGCCGCTGCTTGGTGCAGCGAGCCGGGTGCAGCAGCGCCACCACCTCCCGCACCTCCCCCTCCCACCTGCGTGTGTGAGGTGGGGTGCCATGGGGGGTGGTGTGGCAGAGTGTGGTGGGGTCACAGGTGAGAAAACGGGTACGGTAACGATGATCCAGGCCCAGGGCGAGGAGGTGGGAGCAGGCAAGGGGAGCGGGAGCAGCAGCACGCACATAACACACCGCACACGCCAAGCCCCTCGCCTCCCATCACAGCCCCATCACCCCAGCACCATACCTTGCAGCAGCGCCCTCAATCCCTGGCAGCAGGTGCAGCGCGCCCCCATAGTCCATGGCCTCCACCGCTGCCGCCACCCGCCGCCACCCCTCCACCACCGCGTTGTACTGCCCCGCTAGCTGCCGCTCCCACCGCTTGAACACCGCATACGTGTCCTCGTCTGATTGGATGGAGTGGAAAGGGAAGGGGGGAGAGGGGGTGGGTCATGCTGTAACACCGTAGCCATGACTGTAGCAACGATGAGAACCGAAAAGTGCAGATGAGGCGTGGTGACTGCATGGAAGAACGACGACAGCAAACGGCGTATCACTCCACGCAGCAGCAGCACAAACAACCATGGTGCCTTGAGCAGCACAACACTCGGCACACCCAGCACCCAACAAGTTGTAGCACAGCGCACATACATCCCAGCAGACAGGTAGGTACACAGGCAGGCGAGGGGGAACTCACGGGTGGTCTCAGCAGCGAGGTGTGCAATGGCACGGTTGACAGTGGCAACAGCCTCGTCCAGCGCCGTCACCACGAACGACCGCGCCATGGCGTCCTGTTGCAGTGATGACACATGAGCGCTGCTCGCCCCTCCTCCTCCCAGCAGGCCCCCTCCGATGGCCGCCAAGGGATGCCCCCCCGCCGCCCACCGCCAGTCCTGCATGGGTGCAGTGCGGTTGAGAGGTGGTGGATTGTGGTAGGGTGAGGTAGGGAGGTCAGGGTAGAAATGATGAGCTCTCGTGAAACAGAACAAGGTACCTGAGGGAATCACCACCAAACATTCAGCAAACAATTCATGAAAGCCACCACAAATTCACCTGAGAGGCAGTACAAGAATCACCTGAGAGGCAGTACAAGAATCACCTGAGAGGCAGTACAAGAATCACCTGAGAGGCATCACAAGAATCACCTGAGAGGCATCACAAGAATCACATGAGAGGCAGCAAGGGAATGACCTGAACGACAAAGGAGTGGGCGGCGGAGAAGGAAATGTGAGCTGGCAGTAGCCCCGCCAGGTGCTCCATTGTGGCCGCTAGCACTGCCGCCAGGGGGTCGCTGGGTGGGGAGGAGGGCAGGGGGGAGAAGGAGCAGGAAAGAGTGAGATTTGGGAATGAGGAATAGGGGAAACGAGGTATGAGAATGCTAAAAAGGGGGAGGGAACTGGTGGCATGGCGTGATGGTGGCAGCGCAGGCTGGCTGGTACATCTGCACACGGCAGCATAACACAAGACAGCCCAGACCCAGGGTCACCCCAAACCCAAACCCATAGGGTGGTCACACAGAGCAAGCACGCGTGCATGTCACACCCACCGCAGGTCGGCGTGCATCTCTTTGCCGTTGCAGGTGACGCCGGTGGGCCAGTGGCGGTGCGGCAGCTGCACTGAGAGCACCATGTCAGGAAGTGACTTGGCGAGCAGCGATTGGTCGATAAGGATGGGGTCTGACGTGATGGCAAAGAAGAACACCGGCACGTCCAGCTGCGCGCGCTCCCCCCGACTGCGCTTCACTGCACACGGGTGGATGGAGGGACGAGAGGCACAGAGCGTGTAGCGGTGCACGCGGAATGGATGTCAGAGAGGTGCACGCGGAATGGATGTCAGAGAGGTGCACGCGGAATGGATGTCAGAGAGGTGCACGCGGAATGGATGTCAGAGAGGTGCGCAAGGATGTGAGGCGTGCTGAGGGGTGGAAAAGGGGATGGGGGAGGCAGAGGAAAAAGAGATGCCGAGTGCATGCGACTGGGGAGAGGAGAAGCAAGGAAGGAGGTGAGTAAAGAGGAGAGAGGGAATCGAGCGGTGTGAAGAGGAGAGAAGAGGGATGAGGAGGCGAGGAGGAGGTGGTGTGGCGTCATGCAATGAGGCCCCACAGCGAGTCCCAGCACATCTCGTCTCCCATCTCTGCCACCTCACATCGCTGCAGGCTGTCGTCCCCCAGCGAGCGCAGCTGGTGCTGCAGCACGTGCGAGTCCAGGTACAGCTGCACGCGCCCCCCCGCTGACGCCTTGCCACCCGCGGCCGCGGAGGGCAGCACGGCGGCGCGCAGCGAGGCGGAGAAGGCCGTCGCCAGGGCCGCGTCCTCCGCCACAGACAGCCTGGGGGGGGAACAGGGGGACGAGGGGAGGTGGGAGGCGGGGGGATGGTGAGGAAAGGTAGGGGCGAGTAAGGAAGGGGTGAAGTGGATGGAGGCGGAGAAGGCCGTCCCCAGGGCCGCGTCCTCCGCCACTGACAGCCTGGCCGGCAGAGGGAGCGGGGTGGAAGTTGGGGGAAGGATAGGGTGGTGAGGGGAGGTTGGGGCGAGTGGGACAGGTGGGTGGTGGCAGTGGGTGTGGTGACATGTGAGCGGCATGTCAGGAAGCCCAGGCAAAGGAAGCAGGAGGTAATACGAGTGGAGATGAGCAGCAGCCTGGCCTTCACACCCCGCCCCACGTGCACTGACGCACCGGTAGGTGGAGAAGTGGAAGCGCTGGCCCGGCAGGCACAGCTTCTGCACCTCCGCCTTGAACTCCTCCACGTACTGTGGTGTGTGGCGCCTCTCGTAGTACGCCTGGCAGAGGGGCATGCGGGAGGGAAGAAGGGTTGGGCATGCAGGGGTGGGAATGCATGAGGTCGCAGTTGTGATGTGATGTGCACCCATGCAGGCTTGCCATCGCTATCTCTTCACCTGATGCCATGCCAAGCCACGTCAGCCATGCCACGCCTTGCCACACCATGCCACGTCACCCTAAGCGCGCCCCCACCTGGTGGGAGATGATGTAGAGGTGGAAGGACACGCGCTCGTAGAAGTGGTACGCGCCAGCAGCCGTGGACGGCGTGATGACGTGGCGCATGGCGGATGCCAGCGTGGCCGCCAGCTCAGCCATGAGCATGTCCCACGCGCGCGTCACTGCAGGGCTGCTCTCCCCCGCCCCGCCCTTGCCCGCATGCCTGTCGGGCGGCACACTCTGGAACTTCCAGCTGTGCAGGCGCTCCAGTGCCGCCCGCACGCTGCGCCCCGTGAAGACGCTGCCGGCCGTGGCGCTGCCGCCCTGGTGCTTGGCGAGGTCGTCCTTCACCTCCTCCAGCTTCTGCTGCAGCTCTGCGCGCAACACACGCACGTGCACATTGGGGGAGAGGGAGCAAGAGGCGTGCAGTGCTCTTGGTGTGCTCTGGCAGCGTGGCGGTGCATTTCTTGCATGCAGCCAACATGCACCAGCCAGCCCAAACCATCCCCCCCCATTGAAGCAAGCATCATGCAATGCGTGCACGAAAGCAGGACCAACCACCCCTTGCACCCACCCACCCACCCCTTGCACCCACCCACCCACCCCTTGCACCCACCCACCCACCCCTTGCACCCACCCACCCACCCCTTGCACCCACCCACCCACCCCTTGCACCCACCCACCCACCCCTTGCACCCACCCACCCCTTGCACCCACCCACCCACCCCTTGCACCCAACCACCCCTTGCACCCAACCACCCCTTGCACCCAACCACCCCTTGCACCCAACCACCCCTTGCACCCAACCACCCCTTGCACCCAACCACCCCTTGCACCCACCCACCCCTTGCACCCACCCACCCACCCCTTGCACCCAACCACCCCTTGCACCCAACCACCCCTTGCACCCACCCACCCACCGCGGCAGAGAGCGCTGGGGACGGCGCGGTGAGTGCAGTGGCGGGCGGCGAAGGTGTGGTAGACGTCAAGCTCCGCCAGCAGCACGTCCACCGCGTGCTGCCCCTCGCCCTCGCCCTCGCCCTCGCCCTCCTCCACCGCCTCCAGCCGCTCCTCTGCCATGCGCTCCAGGCGCCCCCTCAGCTCGCCCTCCCACGCCTCTGCTCGCCGCACACACGTGGGGGGGGGGGGGGGTGACTCACATTGCCATGGGGCAGCAACCACGACCCGAGCGGAGATGTGAGTGGTGTGATGTGAGACAGAGAGAGTTGGTGTGCACGAGGTGAGGAGGCGTACAGGAGGATGGGGTGGACTGGGGGGGTTGCAGAGAGGCAGGACGGCAGACAGGCACACCTGCACTTGCGGGTCACCCTTACCAGCGGCAGCCTCTGCGCGCCCACCCCACCCCACCCCACCCCACCCCAGCCCACCCCAGCCCAGGGCACCCACCTGAGGAAGCATGCGAGAGGGCATGGAAGTAGCGGTCTATGGAGGGTAGGCTGGCCTCCGACCTCACTCCCCATGCTGCACTGCCACCCGCCCCCACATCCACCGCTACCACGCTGCTGCTGCTCCACCCATCCCCCATGACACTGCTGCTGCTGCCGTTCCCTCCTGCCCCACCAGCAGCACCACCAACAGCCGCAGCAGCACCACCAACAGCCGCAGCAGCAGCAGTGTTGAGAGGTGCAGTGGGGGTGGCAGCGGCAGCAGCGGGGCGGTGGGGGGCGGGGGAGAGGGGCCCCCAGGAGAAGGGGCCAGCAGACAGGTCCATGAGCGCCCACCTGGTGGTGAGGACGGGGGTGTTGCAGGGGGGTGAGGGTGGGGGGCAGGGATGGGGAAGTAAGGAATGACGCACACAATCACCCCGCCTCTGCTTCCATCCAACACCCTCATCCATCCACCCTCCCATCTAATCCTTTGCTTCCCATCCTCCCACCTCAGTCCCTTCCACTCTCACCACATCCCATCCACCATCCCCCCTCCCATCCCCCGCCTCTCCACCCGTCTCCCCTCCGCCCCACCTGCGGGTGCCAATCCACGTGTCAGTCAGGCACTGCTCCTGCCAGCTGGCATCGGCCTCTTGCAGGGCGGCGCGCAGGGCGCGGGCGCGGCGGGGGTCCCCCGAGGTGAGCAGCTGCTGTGCCTTGCGGGCGGCGCTGGCACGCGGGTCTCCGCGCTCGCTCACCACTCGCTCCACTGTGCCCAGCAGCGCTGTCATCCGCGCCGCCCATGGCACCTGCACACATGCACCGTGGGGAACGGGCGAGAGGGGGAAAACATAAGGCAGAAGAGGCAGAGGGGTGTTGGAAGCAAAAGAAAAACCAAGGAAAAAGAAATGCAGCTAAGGCAGTGCAAGATTCACTGTGGCCACGTTGCATCCTTATGCTGTCAACATCAAACAGGTTCGTGCATTGCATTGCATTGCATGTACATGGGCAGCAGTGCAGCACCGCATGCCACAACACTCTGCGCCCCAGCAGCAGCGACCTCACTGCAAGGCCCGGGAATGCGGCTCACGATTTCATGCGGCTCAATGTGGCGCCACGCGAGCTTGTGACCCGGACGCGAGGAGAAGAGTGGCTGCGGCACGTGCTGCTCGTCTGGTGGAGGACGAGGGGGGAGAGAGGTGGGAGGAGAAGGGAAAGAGGTGGAATGGGAGAGAAAAATCTTGCTGAAGCGGCGTTTCAGAACGCGACTTGTGGAAGCAGCAGCTTGAATAGCGTGCAGGTGCAGTCAATCAGCACTCAGTCGAAGATAAAACCATGGCAGCCAGCACCTTATAACGAGTACAGACCACTCACCCAGCAGGACCTTTAACGAACACATGCCAGTGCCACTCACCCAGCACCTGCGGCACCTTCTCCAGCCCTGGCGACAGCAGGTGCTGCCTCAGCCGGTCGTCCTGCCCCCAGGGAAGCAGGGGCGTGGGGAGGCAGCGAGGGGGGGGCGGCGGGAGTGCACGGGGTGGGTTGGAAAGGGCAGGCACAGGGGGATGTGGGAGGGGCAGTGCGCAGAGAGGCGGGGACTGGAAAGAAAAATATGGGCGATGCAGTGGGGGTTGCAATGCATGCTGATTGATGGTACATGGTGCATTGGGCATGGTGCATGGTGCATGGTGCATGGGGCATGGGGCATGGGGCATGGGGCATGGGGCATGGAGCATGGGGCATGGGGCATGGAGCATGGGGCATGGGGCATGGAGCATGGAGCATGGGGCATGAGACATGGAGCATGGAGCATGGGGCATGGAGCATGGAGCATGGGGCATGGAGCATGGGGCATGGAGCATGGAGCATGGGGCATGGGGCATGGAGCATGGAGCATGGGGCATGGGGCATGGGGCATGGAGCATGGAGCATGGGGCATGGGGCATGGGGCATGGAGCATGGGGAATACCGTCTTGAGCATGTTGAACTCTGCATTGGACAGACCCAGCCTGCACAAGGTGTTGTTAGGGGGTAGGGGCGCGAAGGGTGGCACGGGGGAACGGGTGAAAGGTCGGTTCAGGACAACAGGATGAGGAGGACAAAGGAGAGCCATGACCCCCATGCCGTACCATCCATGCCGTACCATCCATGCCGTACCATCCATGCCGTACCATCCATGCCGTACCATCCATGCCGTACCATCCATGCTGTACCATCCATGCCGTACCATCCATGCCGTACCATCCATGCCGTACCATCCATGCCGTACCATCCATGCCATACCATCCATGCCGTACCATCCATGCCGTACCATCCATGCCGTACCATCCATGCCGTACCATCCATGCCGTACCATCCATGCCGTGCCATCCATGCCGTACCATCCATGCCGAACCATCCATGCCATGCCATCCCACGCCGTGGCCTCACCTGTAGCCATATCGCCTGCGAGCGCGAGCGCGGTTGAGGTTGAGCACAATCACGTTGTAGGCGGAGGCATCGAGCTGCAGCGAGTCCACCAGGCTGTCCACCACATGCGCCATGGCGCCCATGTCCACCTGGTACCACTGCTGCTGCCCCGCGCCGCCCGCCCCGGATGATGATGAGGAGGAGGGGTGGTGGGGGTGCGGGGGCGAGTCGGCGGGGTCGTCGTCGTCGTCGTGGGAGGCAGCAGCAGCGGTGGGGTCGTCGGGGCGGGAGAGTGTGCGCACTGCTGCTTGGAAGACGGACGCCACGCGCTCGCCCATCTCCATCACATGCACCGTGTAGCTGCACGGGGCAAGATGGGGTATGCATGCACGGCGCGGCACACATGTGAGACGCAGCACAGGGAGGATGGGGAATGGCAGGGAGGGAGCAGGGTTGCACAGCAGCGAAACTCATTCCCAGGCATGATTCATGGCAGGTGGTCAGAGCAGAGTGAGACTCCCACCAACCATGCTTGAACGAAAAGACAAGGTCACTCAAACAGGTATGGTGGAGTGGAGCGAGGGAGCAACAATGAAACACAGGGAGCAACAATGAAACACAGGGAGCAACAATGAAGCACAGGGAGCAACAATGAAACACAGGGAGCAGCAATGAAACACAGGGAGCAACAATGAAACACAGAGAGAAACAATGAAACACAGGGAGCAGCTCACTTGTAGTGCACGCTGCTGATTAGCGGGAGGTCATACTCTAACCCCTCCCCCTCCCCCTCCCCCTCCTCCTCCTCGTCGTCGTCGTCATCATCATCACTGCGCACCAGCTCGCCGCCCGCCCCCATGGTGTGAGCGAGGCGGGCGAGGAGGGAGGGCCAGTTGAGGGGCGCGCGCGTGTGCTCCTCCACGTGGTCCATGCGCTGCAGCCAGCGCCTCATGTCGCCCTCCCTCATGCGCATGCCTGCGTGCACACGGGTGGGTGGGTGCCTCGAGGGTGAGTTGATGCACGTGGGCAGGTGGGTGGATGGCGCCCTTGCGCACGCGCATGCCTGCTCGCCCACCACAGGACACGTGCGTCGGTGGGCAATCGGGTGGGTGGGTGGGTGGGTGGGTGGGTGTGTGGTGGGTGAGTTGATGCACGTGGGCACTGAGCATGTGGGTGGGCGCACAAGTGTGCACAAGTGAGCATGGAGTGAGGGAGTGCATGCGGGTGCATGGGGTTGCATGCGGGTGCGTGGGGTTGCATGGGGGTGCAGTCCATAGATTGCAACCTGCAGTCATTGCCACCCACCGTGCCCGCGACCCACCGTGGTCGCCGGAGGCATTGAAGCCGATGAAGATGAGGTTGACGGGGATGGGCACGTGGATGGCGCGCACTGCCTTCAGCCCCAGGTACTCCGCCAGGTTGCCTGCCACCCGCCCCCATTGCACCACCCAATACAGTCACACAGCGGTTGGAGCAAGAGTGAGGACAGCGAGGGTAGAGAGGGCTGAGGGGGACACAGTCATGGAATCTGCAGGGTGGTGCTGCTGCAGGGAGATGTGCCCTGCTGATAACATATGATCTGATCTGATCTGATCTGATTTAATCTGATCTGATCTGATCTCACATGATGCCACCAGCCAATCCGGCAATGCCCAAACACACGATTTGCAACGGCTCAAAGCTCAAGGGTGGGGCACGCCGCACGCACCTTGCTTGACGTAGTGGTCCACCTCGTTGTACCCGTTATAGAACTTGCTGGGCCGCTTCAGGTCGTCCCACGCTGCAGGCGCGCATCGTCACGCGCGTTGACAGGGCGGAGCGAGCGGGAGGAGGGGGAAGCAGCAGGGATGAGCAGGGGGGGATGGGCACAAGGAGGAGCAGGGAAGACAGAGATACGGAAGACGGAAAGAGGGAGACTTGTTAGCAGGAATGAGGGAGGGTGAAGAGCTGGGACGACGGGCGATGGGAGTGAGGCAAGGGAGCTTCGCTGAAAGAGGGGTGATAGGCAAGGGAATGTGCGCAGCAGGGATAGGAAGCACATAAGCGTTGGGGGAGGGATAGAGGGAATGAGGAGCACCATCCTTGTCCACGCAAGGTGGATGCGGCTGGGCACAGCAAGATAACACTGTGAAGAGGTCAACGGAGGAACGAGGGTGGTGAAAGCAAGGAGCGTGACAACACCGTACATTGCAGCAGCAAATCATCGTCGGACAGCTGGCCCTCGTCCTTGGCGTCGAACATCGCGAACATCTCGTCCTTGAGATTGCCGCTGCGCGCCGCGTGCACCTGCCACCAACGATCGCGAAGCGCGATTCACTTCAACTCGTCAAACAGTGAGTCGACCCGAAAGCGGACGAAAGTCCAAACATTCAATGGCGATATTTGGCGAAAGGAGGACCACGTCAGGAAGCACAGAGTGACAACCTTACCTGAATCCCCGCGTCCCATGCTGCTGCGATCAGCACCGAAACCACAAGCAGGACCTGACTCAATCTTCTTTCATGTTTCTCAAACCCTGATGTCCCCATCGCGTGTGGATAGGGAACGTCACAGCTATGGCGGCCCTATGCTGCGCGCATCACGCGGCAGCTCTAATCACTACCAGGTCGCAAGGAGCCAGGTTCTCTGCGTGCCGCCGTAATAGTTACACTTGAGGTCCGCGCTATAAGCTGTGAGCGGTTGGAAACTGAAACATGCAAACCCAAACATATAGTGAATAGAACTTTTCGTAACTGATGTTAAACTGAGTGCAGCGAACACGACATTTGACCACCTCTGCATTTATCGCAACTCGTGCTGCTTGTTTCGTGCTGTTCTTTTCATGCAGCGTAAATTATTCGCATGACGACAAGCTCTCCAACTGGGTGGGTCACGTTTTGCTGGCTGAGCCTTCCGCGTTGGACTGGCTGCATTGCTGTCGAAATCGTCGGCCCCCCTTCCCCCCTCTCCCCGCGATCTCCACAACTGTGGGAATGTGCGCCGTACGTTGACCATTCTTTGCGCGACATTGATGACCTGCCCCCTCTGTTTCCGCCTCCCCCCCAACTCCTCTCCCCCGTCCCTCCCAGCCTGACACGTCCCCTCACATTCCCTTCAGCAGTGGTTGGAGCGACGCGCCACGAAAAACTACACAGACGATCGAATGTGACTGTATTTTCTACAAAAAGCCCGCTGCACTACGCAACACTGGGCGAAACGGAAAACACCTGCCCCGCCAGTCGTTTGCCCACTGCCCCCCTCCCCACCTTCGAGATCGCACGCTGTAAGTCCAGCCAGCAGCGCAGGCGCAGCCCCATCTCGTCCAGTCCAGCAGAAATGGCACTGTTTCCTCTTCCCTCCCCCGCGCCCACGTCGTCCCGAAGCGCCTTCTCCCTACGGGGGGCTGGTTTCCTCCGGGGATCTCCTTAAAGCCCAAAAAAAAAAAAAAAAAATCGTCCAAGCCCAAGGCATCCTCGCTGCAGCACAGTTTCTTCGTCCACATCCATTGCGCTTTAGGAGCTAGTTCCAGGAGATGCTGGCTGTGTAAGGTTAGATTGCAACAGCTTCAGTTTCAGAGGGAGGCTGCCTGGTTAACGAGATGATGACAACTATCTCGCGCGATTCCGACCTGCCGTTCGATCCGGACAACGCGCGGGCTGCCTTCCATCGTAGGAGCGTGTCGCTCGCGACAGCAACCTCGCATTTGCGGGATGCGAACCAAGCTTGGGCGTCGCCCACCCTGTTCGTTCCCCCACCGCACTCGCCGCTGTCACAACTCCCGCCTTTGCTAGAAATCTGCGGCAACGACGGAGCCGCGGTGGATGGCGCTGGCGCAACACGGCGGAAAGATGCGGCGGGGGAGCAAACGGCCGTAGACGCGGCAATGCCAGAAGCTGTCGGCGACAGGACCAACGGATACCTTCGGGGCGACGAGGCGTCCCGGCGGCCGCTTGGCCGAACCCGCTCTCAGGCCATCGGGCCGACTCACCAAGCGACGCGAGCGACTCTCCTGGCGTCGCCTTCGCAGCGCTACGATTCGTCCTCATTCTCGGGAAGCTTGAAGGAGAGGACGAGCGAACACGCGGCGCGCATTAGGAACATGATGCAGAAAGAACGACTCGATTTCTTGGAACCACCGTCGAACGCGCAGCCCGCGACTGTAAAGGTCGACCCCGATGACCCGCGCGCGCTTGCGGAAGGACTGCCCTTGAACTCTCCGCAGCTGCCGCAGCAGCAAAATGCTAACGGCGAAACAGCGCAAGCGACGGTTTCGCCGGGGGGACACCGGCGGGGAGGTAGTAACCAGTTGGGGGGGCTGCAGGCACATCTGCCGCACCTCCTGGCCGCGACCACGCTGAGTCGACGTGGCAGCATCACCAGCAGCCACGCAAGAGACAGCAGCTACGGCAGCGGGATCAGCTTCAGCGGCAGTAGCGGAAGCAGCGCTAGTGGCGTGAGCGGCGCTAGTGGCATCAGCGGTAGGACCAGCAACGCAGGGGTACCAGCGTTTTCCCCGAACGCGGTAGCAGTCGGATCAGTCACCGTCGCCCCCGCCTCTTTTAGTCCGCAATTCGCCAACCCTTTCTCTACCGATGGCCAAACCCCCTCTCTAGGCTCGGTGGCTCCGGTTAGGGTAGCGCCAGTCGAACTTGAGTTACCGGGTTCACCGGCATCTTCGGCGTCGCCAGCGTGGTCGCCTTCGCCAATATCGCCACCAGAAGGCGGGTTCATTCCAACCATTCGCAGGGCAATCTCTCTCGCCGTGCAGCGCGCCAAGCCGCAACAGCAGCTGCAGCAGCAGCTACTGGTACAAGCGCATCCCGTGCTTGCGATACCGACTCGAAATGGGACAGCTGCTGCCCTCGCTGCTGACCCACCCACGGTTGAATTCTCGCCCTCGTCTTGTCCCGTCGCTCTCGGCCATGCGTCAGCGCAACCAAAGACCGCAGCCGCGCTTTGTCCCAAATGCGGCCATACCATGGCCCCCGCGGCTTCTTCCCCCGACGAAGGGCGGGAATCCGCGCAGGGGCGGAAGGGCCGGCGGCGCGTGCCGGCTGCGGCGGTGGAAGCGGCGGCGGCGGCGGCAAAGGCCGCGCAAGCCGCCGCGATGGCCGCAGAGGCGGCTGCTGCCGCCGCGAAAGAGGCCGCCAGCGCCGCCGCCGCTGCCGCCGCGGCGATTGCGGAGGAGATGGACAGTGACTGTTGGGAGAGTGACTGTATGGGGGAAGAAGCGGGGAAGGGCGGCACTGGAGGAGTCGGGTGCGACACGGTGGCGTGCGTCCAGGCGGCAGTGGGTTCTGGCGCGAGAGGCGGGGAGGATAAGCGCGCCGAATCGGTAGCTTGCAGGGAAGGCGGGGCGATGGGTGCGGAGGGAGGGGGAAAAGCGGCGGAAGAGGGCGCAGAGACAGCGAGTGCGGAAGCAGAGGATGGAGCGGGGCAAGGCGTAAGAGGGGACAGTGAGGCTGCAACGGCGGGGCAGGGGGAGATGGGTACTGGTGAGACGGAAACGAGGGCAGGGGAAGAAACAGGCGCGGCGGCGGCGGGACGAGGGCAGAAGGCGCAAGGCAAGTACAAGCGACTGTCGCCCCGGCCTGTGATTGTAGAGAGAAGAGGATTTTCAGATGCGCGCGCTATACAGCCACCCCCTAGTGCAGCCGCCACCATGGGCAACGAGGAAGGGGGGCCGGAGAGCGGCCGTGCGCGCGGCGGAATGGGCCAACAGTCGCCCCGGGGGCGAAAGGGGAGGGAGAGGGGGATTGATGGAGCGGAGGAGAGCAGGGTAACATGGGTGGGGCCTGGGGCGATGAACGGTGAAGATGCAACGGATAGCAGCGAAGGTGCGGACGAGATGGCGGCTGGGGATACGGGGGGTCACGAGGGATGGGAGCAGACGGAGCAGAAGGGGCAGGGGGAGCAGCGAGCGCCGTTCCCCTCGCCCCCTCCCCACGCTGAACCGCGACTGCGCGCTGCACCCCCAGCTGCCAGGCCCCTCGACGCGTCTTCTCCGCGCGCCCACTCGCCCCGGCGCCTGTCGCCCTCAGCGCGATCGCCCCGTGCCACGTCGTCTCCAAAGGCCGTGTCGCCTCGAGCAGGCGCAGGCACCCGCGCAGACACCCGCGCAGACACCCGCGCAGACACCCGCGCAGACACCCGCGCAGGCACCCGCGCAGACACCCGCGCTGGCGGGCAGTCGGGGACAGGCAGCAGTGGCAGCGAGGGCGAGGAGTACCACACCCCCCACAGCACCCCTCCCCCGCCCAGCGACAGCCTTCCCTCCGCGCTGCACCACGCGCAGCAGCTGGCGGGGCTCCCCTTGAGCCCGTCGCTCGAGGCGTACCTTGTTGACGCGCGCGCCGACCACGCCGCGGACGGCTCCTGCGCGGAGCCTCCGGAGGCGCACGACACGGGGGAGAGAAGCGTGGAGTGCGGCGAGCAATACGGCGCGGAGGGCGGGGAGGACATCCCCCTGATTGACGACGGCCCCGTCGCCGCCCCGAGCCGCCCCCCGAAGTCGCCCAGGCCGGAGCGCGCGCTCTCCCCCCTCGCTGCGCGGGGCGCGCGGCAGCCACGCGCGCGCCAGGCGCCTGCTCGCTCGCCGCGGTCGCCCAGGACGAGAGCGGTGAAGGACGGTGCGTGGCGGTGCAAGTCCATGCAGGAGGGCTCCTCCAACCCCCCCAGCGCCGCCAGCGCCAGCCGCGCGGGCGGGTCTAGCGCCGCTGCTGCCTCCACCGCGCGCCCTGCCGCGCGCACGCGGTCCTTCCGCGAACAGTCGCCCCGCGGGACGCTGAGGAGCGCAGGCGGAGGGGGGAGGGTGCTGCGCAAGGCTGGGTCAGAGCCAGAGGAGCGGGGGGGGCTGGGGGAGGGGGGTGGGGGAAGCAGAGCAGGAAGGGGCGCGCGGGGCGGGCAGGTATGGTCGCAGGCGCGGCCCAGGTCGCCTAGGGAGGCGCCGCGGTCGCCCAGGGCGCGCTCCAAGTCGCCCACCGACGGGCTCAGGTCGCCCAGCGAGGGGCTGCGCTCCCCCCGCGCTGCAGGCAGGTCCCCGCGCCCCCTGCCTTCCCCCAACGCCGGGCTGCCTGGGAGGGACGTGGGCGCGGGGGAGAGGGGCGCGGGGGGGAGGAGCAGGCAGGCGCGGAAGGTGAGCAGCTGGAGTGGCCCGGGAAGGGCGGAGGGCGGGGGAGGGGGGGAGGTCGACGCGGAGGAGGCAGGGCGACGCACAGGAGCAGAGAGCAGAGCAGGGGGAGGGGGAGCGGGGCGGGGAGTGGGGCAGGGCGGGTTGGGGCAGGGGGGATCAGCGTCGTTCTCAGCAGGGGGGGCGCGGGTGGCGGAGTTTATCCTTGGGCGCGCATACAGGGACGTGGGGGAGGCGTACGAGGTGGGGGGGGAGCAGCTGGGCGTGGGGCAGTTTGGGGTGATCCGCGCGTGTGTGAGCCGCAGCACGGGGCAGGTGATGGCGTGCAAGGCCATCAGCAAGGAGCGCATTCTGGTGAGCCCTGCGTGGGGGCTGTTGGGCTGTGCCGTGCTGTGTGTCCTGTGGCATGTGGCATGTGCCATGTGCCATGTGGCGTGTGGCATGTGCCATGTGCCATGTGGCGTGTGGCGTGTGGTGAGTCAGCAGCATGTCTTTGTATGTGCGTGATGCATGGGTGCACATGTGTGGGCATGGCAAGCGCATGTGCATGCGCTCCCAAGTGTGTGCATGCGATGTCATGTATGAGCGGTACGGGTTCATGTGCATGCGCTCCCAAGTGTGTGCATGCGATGTCATGTATGAGCGGTACAGGTTCATGTGCATGCACGCGCGACCACGTAACCGTCCCCCCTCATCCATCCCCACCTCATCCCACCCACCAGGCGCAGGAGGACGCGGAGGACGTGGCGAAGGAGGTGCGCGTGATGCAGCAGCTGCGCGGCCATCCGCACATTGTCAAGATCCACCGCGCCCTCGAGGACTCCCAGGTGCGCAGGGGGGCCAGCCGGGTGGGCAGCACACCCTGGTGGGCAGGGCTGTCACGCAGGCGGGGGCAGGCAGGTGGGCAGGACAACCAGGCGGGGTAGGGATTGGAGGTTGGGAGGGGCAGCGAGGTGGGGAAGGGAGGAAGGGTGGCATGAGGCAGTGAGGCAGTGAGGCAGTGAGGCAGTGAGGCAGTGAGGCAGTGAGGCAGTGAGGCAGTGAGGCAGTGAGGCAGTGAGGCAGGGTGCTGGTTGGCCTGCCAAGGGCTCAGGCTGGGATGGTGACGAGGCAGCAATGCACGGTGGGGAAGAGCCTATGGCGGACAGCACCGCCTCCTTGGAGCCCTTGCGATCAGAAGGGTTGGGGCGTGGCTGAACAACATTGGTTGGGGCGTCTCTGGCCAAAGTGTACACCCACGTTGGGTGTAACATTCGCACGATTATATGTGTGCTATATTCTAAGACTCCTATCTCTCTGCCCTCCCCCCTCCCACCCACGTCCTCAGAGCGTGCACATAATCATGGAGATCTGTCGGGGCGGCGATCTCTTTGACCGAGTCAAGGCGGGCGGCAGGCTGAGCGAGCGCAGTGCGGCGGCCATCACGGGGCGGCTGGTGGAGGCGCTGCTGTGGTGCCACGAGAAGGGCGTGGTGCACCGCGATGTGAAGCTCGAGAACATTCTGCTCAAGCAGCGCGGCCACGACACCGACATCCGCCTCACTGACTTCGGCATGGCCGCTGAGGTCCACCCAGGTACTGCCCCGCACGCCCTGCTGTTTTCCTGCTGTTCCCTTGCTGCTGCTGTGCCCTGCACCCTTCTCCATACACCTGATGTTGTTCCATGGGTCTTTTTTGTTCTCTATCTGCTTGCGGCGCCGTACTTTCTTGCTACATTGCAGCCCACTCACTGCTTTGCTCCCAGTTGTCTCTTGCAGCATCTCACCTATGTGGACCTCTTTTCCTATCGCTCTTCCTTCCTTGCTGAGTGAGGCACGCATGATAGCACCTTGCAGCACCCACTGCCCCCTCATGTGCTCCACCAGCAACAGCTGTGGCAAGAGCACCATCTTATACCACAGCCCCTCTCACTCGTCCATCCATTCCCCACTCCCCCCTTCATGCTCCCCACTCCCCTCCCTCCTCTCCCTCCCCCAGGCGAGGTGCTGACGGAGCTGATAGGCACGCCATACTACATGGCACCGGAGGTGCTGGCAGGCTCATACGGGCCCGAGGCGGACATGTGGAGTGCGGGCGTGGTGCTCTACATCCTGCTGTGCGGCCTGCCGCCCTTCTACGCCGCCTCCAACGAGGGCATATTCGACGCCATCCGCAGCAAGGACGTGCAGTTCAAGGCGCCCAAGTGGCAGGGTGTGAGCAGCGCTGCCAAGCAGCTCATCAGCAGCATGCTGGAGAAGAACCCGCGCGAGCGCATCACGGGAGAAGAGGTCCTTGGTGAGTGATTGTGGTCGAGTTCTTAATAAATATTTGGTCATTGTGTGCAGTGCCTCTTTTTTTTCCATGCCAGAGGTTTTTTTTTCTTTTGACGGGCATTCAATGGCGGCTAAGTTATGATTGTGTTTGGTCTATGTGTGTGCATTGGCAGAGCATCCTTGGATCAAGGCATATGCGTTTGATGACTAACCTAACATCGCCCACCGGGCCACTGTACATGCGGTACTCTTAGTTGCTTCCAGTGACACCCGTGGCCATGGCATAGCTTTCGCCAGCATGCGGGTGTGTAATTTTATTGCACTTCAGCTTCACTGCTTTGAATAATCGGAACCACACCTATTGATGCGCTAGATACTTGCACATGCTTTGCAAGCTGCGATGTGCAACTGTATATTTTCAAAGAGCTAACCGCGATTTGTTACATTATGTGTTTTGCAAACACCGGGCAGTGACATTCCAGATCAGTCGTTTGGCTACTGTAGATCGAACAAGACCTTTTAAAGTTTAAAACCAAGGTCTCACTTAGATCATTTGTTTTGCAGTTGATGACTTCACCCTGGTTAGGATTGGTTGGTGAGGTGGAAAGAAAGACGAGCGGTGTGACGAGAGGAGCGAAGGAAACACAAATCGCAGTTTGTGTCCGAACCATCTAGGCACGGAAACTGGTTCGGTGCCAAAGCTATAACACCAGCAAAATGTTCGAGCATCCCGTCAGTCTCATGTACCATCAAAATGTTTTGCAATTGCATCGCAGGCAGAAACGGGAGGAGTCGCATAGTCAAATGCCAAACCAACCCCTAGAGTTCGCCACCTCAAACAGGGTGACTCAGCTTCATTTGTTATGCAGTTGATCACAATTTCTCTTGCGTGAGACCCTGGTTTTAAATCAAACTTCATCTCTAGCTAGGTTTAAGCTAACCATTTACTCTACAACTCCAACTAGCCACATTTTGTCGCATGCGGACTTCGCGTGTCCAACCTGCACCAAACCTCAACTTCCAAGCAAGACTTTCCTCTGCAGGGTGTTGTACACGGAATGCCCTGCAAATCAGGGTGTCGATGTTTAACATCCGATGTAAGGAAAATTCCTTTTCCTTGCTTCGCGTCCCCGCTCAGTGCGTATGCCACTGTAGCACCACAGTCACCACCGTTACCACTCGCAACCCTCGCATCGATAATCCTCCCGCCACCTTCACACGTCGCACCCCGACCTCACGGCTCGGCGGGTAACCCGCGCTCCGGGCCTCCGCTTCGACATTTCCCCAAACCTCAGTCCCAGGCCCGTCGCGTGACAACCACTGTTCAACACCGTTGCCACTGTAGTTTCGCTATATATTCTTCGCTCATTGTACTCTTGCTTCGATAGTGCAATTCTCGCTCGATCACTCAATTGCACTCGTAACACTAGGTATTTGGAGCCTACGATCTCTTCTCGAACCGCACCCACACCTTCACTTCCCCACTATCTCAATTTTTTGGGGGGGTAGACGTCTCTCAGCGACACAGCACCGTCGCTCGTAGTGCTCTCTCGTAAGCACGGCGGCCACGACAGAGGCTCTCGCTGAGCTTGCCCGACACCCCCACCATGACCGAATTCACGCTCGCGACGTTGACGCAGGAGCAACTTGACCGTCTCGTGCGCCAAGTTGAAGAATCGGCGCTCGAAATTGCGACGCTCACGACGGAACGTGACTCCGCGCGTCAGCAATCCACGGTGAATACTCCAGCGCCACCACATGCACCGACAAATGCATCTGCACAATCGGACGAGCCGATCGTCATTTCGTCCGGCACACCAACACAACACGACAGCGTAGGACAGCGCTCAGGTCCAGCCAGTGATGGCGCCGCCCAACCGATGCCTGACATGGGGGGAAATAGGGTCGCACCAAGCCCGCGGGGGCCTCGTGAAGCCCGTCGGCACGTGGAGTTCGCGGCGACAAGTGGCGAACAGGCCATTATGGCACCAATGCCACTCAAGCCGCAACGCCCGCCCTGCTTCGACCCGAGCCATCCTATTTGTCCGACGGTTCAATCGGGGGTCTTCACGATGAACGTCTTCTTCGACGCGAATTACGTCGAGTCAGACGCAGCGAAGGTCCGATATGCCGTCTCGCTGCTGAGGGGCCCCGCTATGGACTGGTGGCGAGTCATCGTGACGTCACCACGCGCCTACGAGCCATCGTCGCAAGAGGAAGGGCCCACGGGTCCAGCTGTCACCTGGAGTTCATTCTGCGAAATCGCCCAGTACTGGTGCGCAGAGCTTTGCGCGCGCTTTGAGCCAATCGCGGCTTCTATTTCGGCGCGTCAGAGACTGCGTACTTGGCGGCAGCTCGGGTAGATTCAAGACTACACGAGTGGTTTTCTCGCATTATGCGAGCAAGTCGGCTACATGCACGAAGCGGAGCGGGTGGACCGTTACGTCGGAGAGCTGAAGCCGGACATCTCGCACGAGATCATGCTACGTAGGCTCTCGAACTTCAACGAGATTCTCGCGCTCGCCGAGAAAATCGACATTTTGCGCTGTCCGAGACCGGGGTCCTACTACGGACATCGTCCTCATGGACCGATCGAGCACGCCACCGTACATGCCGTTGCGACGAATGCAGCTGCCGCGCCGTTTAAGGGGCGCTGCTTTGCTTGTAATAGGCCGGGCCATCGCAATAGTGAATGCCCAGAGGAGCTGAGGCACCGCAGAGCAAAGCAGGGGAGGGAGTCTCCAAGCCAGGGAAACGCCAGCAGTCAGTAGGAATCGGGCCAACTACTGACGAGACTGCCTGCTCGCCCAACCCCACCGACCCTCACCGAGTCACAGTACCGATTCATTCTATCGATCGGACTCGGACGAGTAAGGAGGGTACAACGACGGATTGCCCAGTACTGATCCACAGGAAAACACAGGGAGCAGCAGTGAAGATTTTTATCGACGGAGGAGCAAGTCATAGTTTAGTTAATACCGCAACCGCACGAAAACAACAACTGACACTTAGCCGTTGTTTACCTCAGATAGACGCACTCATAGTCGACGGCACGCCACTGGCCACACGGGAAAGGGTGGAGAGAGTCAAAGTCCGCTGCGGGGGAAATTTCGGATTTACACAGGAAATGCTCGCTACGACACTAGATGGGCACGACATTTTACTGGGACGTGATTGGCTGCGACAGTATAACCCGCGAATTGACTGGATGACGGGTAGCTGCACAGTGCGAAGTAGTGGTAACTGGGATGAGCTACCTCGCTGGCAGTCGCCCGAGTCTTCAACGGTACACGTCAATGCCGTCACCATGAACCGGGCTGTCGCTGCTTGAGCTGACGTGTACGCAGTAGACATTGCGGTGGTAGAGGGAGCAGAGCAGCCGAGTGATTTCAAGAAACTGCTGGTACCGGTACCGCCCGAACTACAGGAACTGTTGAAACGATACCCTGGGATTTTTCCCGACGACTTACCGGAAGGGCTGCCACCTCAGCGAGCACATGACCACCGAATAGAATTAGAACCGGGGACACAACCAACTGTACAGCGCCAGTTCAGACTGACACAACCCGAGCTCGACGAACTGAGGAAGCAGCTATATTACTTATTAGAGAAGAAATTCATTCGACCGAGCTCGTCGCCGTTCGCCGCACCGATACTGTTCATGCCAAAAAAAAGACGGAGGGTTTCGCATGTGCATCTATTACCGAGCGCTCAACAGGTAACAGTCAAATCGCGGTACCCCATTCCCCCTCGCCGACGAACTGATCGACCAACTGCAAACAGCACATGTTTTTTCGAAAATAGATTTACGGGGAGGTTACCATCAGATTAGGGTCGAACCATCGGACTGCGCCAAAACAGCTTTTCGGACTAGGTACAGGTCATTCAAGTACACCGTAATGCCTTTCGGGCTGACCAACGCACCAGCGACATTTTAGATGACCATGAACGAGGCGTTTAGGCCAGTTTTAGATAAATGCGTGATATTTTACCTCGATGACATCCTCGTCTACAGTCGCGACAAGCAGCAGCACTTCGCAGATCTGGAAGCAGTGTTAAAGGTTTTAGACGAGCATCGGTTACTGACAAAGGGTTCCGAATGCGAGTTTTTTCAGGACCGGCTAGAGTTTTTGGGGCACGTTATTTCGGAGGCTGGGGTCGAAATTGACCCAAAGAAGTTAGACACGGTGAAAGCTTGGCACCCCCCGACGAATATCACGGAACTAAAGAGCTTTTTGGGGTTTGTCAATTACGTTCGTCGGTTCGTCCCCGACATGGCACAGTTAACATCACCGCTGACGGACTTGTTACGGAAGGGGGCCGTTTTTACGTGGGGGGAGAAAGTGTCAGAATGTTATCTTATGTTCTAGCATGTAGTGGGGTGCTCTATAGCGAGTACAACCCTTCTAGGGTTTGCTATTTGTATCCCCATTTCTGCTAGTTCAACCCCTCTTCTTTCTTCTAACTTTTGTCATGCTATCAGAGCAGGTCGATCCCTTTGGATCGATCCTGTGGATGGGTTACCACCTCCACGCTTCCGCTACAACCTTTTGCTTCCCGCCGTGCGCCCCAAGGCGCGCGGCGGTTTTCTGCCCGCCGTGCGCCCCGAGGCGCGCGGCGGTTTTCTGCCCGCCGTGCGCCCCGAGGCGCGCGGCGGTTCTCTGCCCGATGTGCGCCCCGAGGCGCACGGCGGGCTTATGCCCCGTCGTTCGCCGCGTACCCCTCTGGAGGCGTCGCGACGGGCGACGGGGACCCGTCGCGGCCCCGCCGCCCCACTCTGGCGGCCCCGCCGCTTTCCTTCGCGGCCCCGTCACCTTCGGTCGCGGCCCCGCCACCGACCTGTCGCGGCCCCGCCGCCCCACCATCGCGGCCCCGCCACCGACCTGTCACGGCCCCGCCGCCTCCGGTCGCGGCCGCGCCACCTTCTGTCGCGGCCCCGCCACCGACCTATCGCGGCCCCGCCGCCCCACCATCGCGGCCCCGCCACCGACCTGTCGCGGCCCCGCCGCCCCACCATCGCGGCCCCGCCACCGACCTGTCGCGGCCCCGCCACCTCCGGTCGTGGCCGCGCCACCTTCTGTCGCGGCCCCACCCCCTACCCGTCGCGGCCCCGGCCCCTCCCCCCCCTTATCCCGTCGCCTGTCGAGGCGACCTGAGGGGGCCGCTTGCTGTGGGGTGGCGGGTATGGGGGTGGCCGGTGTGCATTCCTCC